AATAAAAATGAGGGACACTTAGTTTGGAAACAGAAGATAGAAGCATTGAAGTTTGCTCTAATCAATTCTATTTCCAGGACCTGGTTGTTAGATACATGCTCATTTCAGCACAGTACCAGGTATTTATGTTAGATTTATCACTTTATATTCAGGAATTTTTTTTAAAAAACATATCATAGTGACTCCTAACAGTGTATGACAATAGCACTGCAGCTTTAACAAATTCAGATTAACGCTATGACATTCAGTCTTTCTGTTATCACTGTCAGGAAAGGAATGTGGCCTAAGTGACCCTGCAACTTTATCTAGATATTTCCACAATATTCTGTTTTATTTTTACTTAAACCTATGGTTTAATTCTTCTTCCAATCTTAGGTGCAGTATTCATTAGTTGTAATAAAGGACAAAATTTTGTTTACAATTTTTTTTTACAAAATATATGACCGCAAACAAGCACAGAACCAAGGGAAAATTCTTACTTACTGAGTTTAACTGGATAAACATTCTGAGAGGATTATTGCAGCAGCTTTTCAACGTTTATTATTGTGGACCTATAAAATTTAGTAAAATAAAATGAATACTAATGTAACGCAGTTTTATATTTAGTTGTCTACATAACAGTTTACATCAGGTTTAAAAAACACTTTTGATTTTGAACTCTACTCCATTTTGACAGTCTTACATAATACAATAACTGAAATTTAGTGATCAATAATTTGTCATCTTCTGAAAGTTAATGAATAATGTCGTGGTCTTGCATCCAAATGGATTGTGGTTTAGCTTACATGCCTAATAATAATAATAATAATAATAATAATAATAATAATAATAATAATAATAAAACAAATAATAAATAATATTATCTGTTCTTATTTGATTTTCATACGAATAATGTAAGCATGGATTAGTTTTATTTTTAGTGGTAGGTTAACTAGGCTTTGTACAGTTGTTTATTTTAATGTTAAGCTTTCTGAACATAAACAGACTTAAAAATTTCAGAAAATGAGATTGTAAGTAAATACTATCTGACTGCATTTTTTGTTTGTAGATTTGATGTTGGAATACTCATCTTTGTAAGAGAACATCAACTGAATTTTTAATGACATTTCCATAAATGTGGCTCTCTGTACTCTCTGTACTATGAGACCCCAGAGGCCAATAGATGACTACAGCCATTAGTTCTAGAAATATCTCTCCATGGCTGACCATGGCTGTTTGTTGAAATCATAAGCTTTGTTTGCAATCTTTCATCAGTTTAGACAAACACACACTGCACTGGACAGCTGTGTGCCACTTATGCTCTTCTAAGAAACAAAAAGATGTAACGAAGATGAAGAGTTATTTTATAGTTATTATTAAAGGTGCTTTTCAATATTTTTCTTATTTGTTATCAAAACCAACCACACCAGCTAAACACACAACACAGATAGTTGAAGTGATTTTTTGTCAAATTCAAATTGGTTATTACTGTAATAAAAACAAATTTGCCAAAAAACACACATAAATTAAAAAAGATATTATATCAGGTACGATATCATGATATCGAGGTATGATATCAAGATATGAAATCAGGATATTATATCAGGTAATCGGGTACACGTCATTACCTGATTTCTTTTGGGTTTATTTGTTTAAAGTGCTTTGGGACCTTTTAAATGAAAGGTGCTATACAAAACCCAAGGCCTTTTACATCAACACCTATATGTTACAGTAGTGCGAAAATATTATAAGCTTTAGTAAATGATTTAGATCAGCAATCATCTGCAGGCACATTAAAACATAGGCAAAACAAATATAGGATCAACAGTATTATTTTAATTTTATTTATTTTGATCTTCTTATTTTACAGTTTTAAATGAGAGGTATGGACTTGCAATTATCAAACAAAAAACAACTAAAATATCCCCTACAAGTACAGTCAAGTTTACAAGTTGAAGATATAACATAGAGTTTGTTTCCAAAATGTATTCTAATGAATGACACTAAATACTGTACACAACAGTCAATTTTTCTGCTGTAGTTTTAGCACTTATGTACCCATCACTTTCCATGAAGCACAGCTTTGAGATGTTAAACTAACTGGAAGTTTTACTTTTTAGGAAGATATCGTAGTACAGTGACTTTCAGCTCTTTCACAAGGTGGCTCTCTCACATTTTATATATTGTAATGGAAAATCAGCCTCCATAGCTGGTGGTATAGATACTCAAACTATTTTTATTTATGGCCTGGGAACTATGCAACAGTAATACAGCACTCAGAGTGCCAACAACTAGTCCAATGGAACTCAGCCTGTTGTATCTGACATTCCGGATACATCTACCTCATGCCCCACTTATGCATATAGATACTGGAAGTAGCAGAATTAAGTTACACTAAACAGCTACCACCACATTCAAGGACTAACTCAGGCCAGTTTAGCTTCCATAACACGTGCACACCTGGAAAAGGCCAAAGGCCAACGGCTGATCATTTCCCATCTATGTGGAGATCTGCCATGATTTCACAATTTGACAAAATCATTGTGGCATGATGGGCAGCCATCTGAAAATTAACCTGATATCTCCCCAAACTAGACACCCAGCCAATGTAGGGTGACCTGCCAGCATCTGCACTGTTTCCTTGATCTGTAAAAATAGCCATAGTTGTGCAATTCAGTGGGAGTGTGCAGAGAACCAGTAACAACAAGTTTTATTTGCAAAGCAGTAGTTACAAGTATATCACTCTATAACCATGTACTGTGTTTTAACACTTTCTTTGCTTTCTTTGCTGGTTGCATATTGCTGTTGTGCGTCTGTCTTTGTCAGTAGATTTTCATTTGCACACATGACTTGCCTGATCAAGCACTTTTTTACAACAGAATTAAGAGGTACAAAAACACAAAGATGTTTGCGCAGGAAAAATAGGCAGAATGCCAAATAACAAGAAAAACGCAACATAATCTGGCAGGTGTTAAATACGATTTTTGTTACTAACATTGCATCTCATGTTTGCTGTACAGAAATAAGAAATCAATATGTTAACTCCTTCCGCTTGTTAATATTTGATCTCATTCGCTTGTTTACAAACATTGTTTAGTTCAATGTGGATGTTCTGGTCATTAAGATGATACTGCAAATCATGTAACATAAGAGGCACATTAAATGTCACCCGAGATTGGATTGTATAAATTCATGCTGTGGAATTATTTCAAAATTTAAGATGTGGATTTTGAAAACCACAGTAGTTAATTTTAGTTTGTAATTTTACATGTTTTTCACCTTAAAACATTTCAGAACTAACCCATTATTATTGTCATCAACACACAATCTATTGGTGGGTGCGGTGGAGTGTCTAGCGAAACACTGACAGAATCACAAGAGTCTGTGGGAAATTTCTGCAATTTCCCTCACGGATCAATAAAGTATCAATCTATCTGAAAACTTGCTACCTTTTCCCTGGGCTTTACATCCATATGGCATAATAAATACTCAGAGGGAACAGAAATAGTGAGTCAGGGTGAAGTGTGACACGCCAACACACACCAAAAAGTGAAATAGCGTTTTTTTTTTAATCAGAAGATGAACTGTAGCTCCTGGCTAATGCTCTAAAAAATCCTCTTGTTTTACTAATCAAACTTGTATAGTAAGAATTGCATAAGCCTTCAAGACCAGATGATGACAATACCTTTGAAAATAACATTTTTTTTTTATTTCTCTGTGGTTTGAACAGGAAATTAAACAGCTGGAGCTGTAGAATCCTGTTTTATTCTTCCTCCCTCAATAACTTCACTGTTTTCCACATGATCTGCATGGAAGAAACCGGAATCTATCCCTGCAACCATTAAAACAGGGTACTCTTAAAACACACTTTCGCCTGTTTGCAAATTGTGATTTGTTGTGTGAGTTGTACACAATACCTCATCCAATACTGAGGGAAACACAAAAAGGTGAATACTTCCACGTGTATTCCAGAACATGCATTTGCTTTCATTCAAGTACTTAATACAGCAATCATTTGTGAGCCATCGAGATATTAAGAAGTACGGGTGTAACAGAAAGGACATCGAAGTACATCTATCAACAGACTAGTGCTTGGAATGGAACACTGGAAGACCTTGTACTACAGCAACATACAGTCTAACATCTGGAGCAAAACAGGGTTAAAGCATGTAAATACCACTACATTAAAAACTTTACCTTAGGACTCTGAGACTGGCTTACTTACGGCAGTCGAATATGAAAAGTAACAACAAAAGGTTAAAAAGTAGAAATAAAACAACGTTCCAGCTGTTGACCCGCTTTCGGGTCTTTTGCAGCCAAAGCTCCCTGTCAAAGTTTAAACATGTAAATTGCACATGAAACTATGTGTATAAAGTAAGCAAATACGTTTTAGCTTTTATTTACTAATTTTACTTCTTAATTTCAGAGTTTCTTTATTTGAAGATGACTAATCTTTACACGTAAGAATTGTCTTATGTTTTAGCTTTATTTTACAATTATTTTACTCATAAGTTTTTGTTTCAATTTTAAGAAACAAAAACAGGAAAGTGAAGGTTAAACAGAAAGATTTTAATCACTTCATGAGAGCTTCAGAAAAAACTATACGGAAGGATTGGTACTGGGAAACGTTTAACTGCAGTCGGATTAAATGACTGAAATTTTCGTATCTGTTGTTCCATACAGGGTAAAACCATACAACAAAATTAACAGCATTAATTTAAACTGACTTTATAATGCTAGATTTCCATAATCGTTCACCATTTCTTCAACCTGCGTTTCCTATCTTAATGTTTGTACGTATTATTGTATTTAATACTAGTTATTCCTGGCATTCAAAAAGCTTTTTTTCCCACCAGGCTCATCTAGTGTTGACATTTAAAAGCACTTCTGAAATACTTTCCCTCAATTATGACATAGTAACTACAACAACATCGAATTGCTAGGCTTGAATCGAAACATACTGTAAATCACGGAAACAATCGCTTCGTTTTCACTCTTGTGCAATACTTCACTGCCCTCTGGTGTTTAAAATGTTTCAAACCCATTTGAAATGTTTTATCTAACCCCCAATTTTAATTTCGAAATTTATATTTTTAAAAGCAAATAGGACACATTAAAGCAATATTTTGTCACACACCATTATTTGTATTTCAACTGATGCCAGAATCCTCACGACTTTTTGGTTGTTCCCGGTGTATTGGGAAACAGTGAGTATTTCCCTTTTATTCTTTTCTTGCTGTTCCAGGCAGTCATCTTTCTGCGTATATTTGTGTCCTGTGTAGGTTCCGTGTTATTCCATTTAGTGTCCAGGTATACAGGATAAAGGATAGAGACAGAAAGGACACACGTTCCTTCAAACGCAAAGGCACGTTCTCCTTCGGAAATACTATGTAATCTGCCAAAACCACTCGGTCCATTTAGATTTCTCGTTTTTATTTCCGAGTTTTTATTTTCCGACACAGCATTAATTGGACAAATATATTTAAACTCTTCAACCTTTAATGTTATTTATCTTAAATTCCTTTAAGGCGCCCAAAATAGATTTCGTGAATTCGGAGTTAAACGTGTTCTTAAAAAAACTGCAAAATGGCAGTTCAGAGTCACTGGAAACTGGAGTTAGTTGACCTCCCCCCCTCCACCCCCACTACAGGGCGCTAGCTCTGTGGCGTGAACGTGGAGGTTAGCGCAGTTAGCTCACAGCTCAGGGGTCCCGGGTTCGATTCTGGCCTGGTGCGCCTTCAGTGTGGAGCCTGCCTGTCACCCAAACAGCCCTGCTCCCTGTGACCAAAGAGTATTGTTTGCATTGTAGCCTGCCTGTAGTCACCCTTATGAATACATCGCAGCAATTTAGGGGATAGGTAATTAATGAAGCGTTCTTTGCTTACTTTCTTGCGTTGAATTATTGCTATAGGTACACCATTATTCACAATTTCTTTTATTTTCTTTGAACAAACGGCTTTTCATATTTCGTTCCTTGTCACCTTCAGCCGCGAGTGCAGCAAGGCATTGCAAACAAAACTCCTCATAACATACACGGTACGTCTAAATCCACTGCGTCTGCACTCTGATACGCCGTATGTGTACGCGTTGTTGCGGTGCACATGTACAGTATAGGTATGTTTTCGACGCCAGGGAGAAAAGTGAAGACATCGGAATTCGGGGACTCCTGTAAGAGCAGCCACGGCCGCCGGCTGGCCAATCCGCGCCGCCAGCTGCGCGTACAGCGGTGCGGCAGCGAATCACGTGCCGCGCCCGGGCCTTCACGGAGCGCACAGGTAGGGACCGGCCCGGCTGTGTACGTATCCCAGGCGCAGCTGTCAGGTCACAGTACGGATAAAATGAGCAGCCGAGGGGGGAAGACATGTCCTGAAATAACATCAAAGTGCGGGTAGAAAAACGACTCGCTCAGACTTGGGGAGTGCACAGAGTGATGGGGGATCATTGTATGTTTTTCTGGTTTATCAGAAAGTGATATCAGTATTGTTTCGATTCGGGGAGCGAATTTCCTGGCTGTCGCCGGTCGGAGGCACCCCGCTTTTACAGATGATTTGGTTGCCCAGACGTCTCTCCTCGCCATGATTTCTCGAGGTGGGTGATTAGTCGGGACCTGTTTACTCTTGAGCGGCCTCGGTGCTTCGGCTCTGCCACCCCCAGCAGTCCTTTTCGGTGCTATCGGCACGGGCAGCCCGCCGATGTCGGCCCGGCGGTGCTCGGGGACCTCCGGGCCGGGCGGCGGCTCGGCTCCGGCGGGGACCGAGGTGCCTGGGGGCGGGGAGCCGACCAGGGAGCTCTTCGAGGCCTGCAGGAATGGGGACGTGGAGCGGGTGAGGAAGCTGGTGACCCCGGAGAACGTGAATAGCAGGGACACGGCTGGCAGGAAATCGACACCGCTGCATTTCGCCGCAGGTAAGAGCATCCAGGCCTGTAGCCCAGCTAATTACCAACCGCAAATGCTCGGATAGCTGGACAAGATGTGTCCGTTGATTTACTCGGTGAAATGTGTCAAAAGTGTGCTTTGAAAATAGTCGCGTTAGTGTGGTGGAAATAGAAGGGTGCTCAACGAATTTCATACATGGCTCAGATGCGTGGGCTTATCCTTGTAAACAAACACGAGAATAGACTGGCTTAGTTCTGGACGAAGAGCTCCCAAAAACGCCTTTTCTTGGATTCAGATGGGAAAGATGAATACAGGAGCTTTTCCATTAACGGAGCGGTAGGGAGCACGTAACTGGTTGCTAACCGTGTTTTATCATTTGTCAAGGAACGTTTTACTTTAGCGTTCCGCGAAAAATACGCTGAAATGATCGGAAATCTTTGATTTAACGGGATTTGAATGACTCCTGGCTTTATTGTTCTTTGCTGTCAATCTGATCCTCGGATCTCTCCAATGTTCTCATTTTTGAAAATAAGACTGACTTATTTTCCAAAGTGAAAAAATTAAATGATTGATTTCGGTAACATTTCGTTATTGCTCTTAGTAGCCAATTTCATTAAAATGCTGGACGGGTGCCACAAACGAGGATAAGCAATATAGCTTGTCTCGTTTACCTCAAATAACGTTAGGCGCTGCAATATAAGCTCTAATGATCGTTTGGCTGCACATTCTACTATTTATTAAATACAAGAAATTATACAGTTGTTAAAATACACTTTTCATGCTGATGGATACAGTATTATTCTTTTCATTATTACTGCTACTAATACATTTTATTTATAATGTACATTTAGTTAATCAGTCTAAAAGTACAGTACAAATTAATTACTTATATGCAATCCAAATTAATAGAATATAATACAGAAAAAAAAATCAAACAACATCATGTCCAAAACAATACAACAGATAAAATCAGAAGCTTTCTTGTAAAGGTATGTTTTCACTTTTAATATTAAAAGTTGCCAAGGCCCGGGCTGCCCTGATATCATATAGTTAGTTATCCAATAAATTGTATTGCATCCTCCGCCCCTGAAGTCTGGTGCCCATTGTGTGCCAACAGCCTCAGTGCACAGCAGAACGGGTGGAGAACAGAAGTAGCTTCGCTGATGGAATTACGGAGAAACTATAGGCTGGGTTGTCGGTTTAGAGTAGAGGTCCCAATGGCTTAGAGTGGGGGGGGAAAAAAAAAAATCTATGTTCTGCTTGTGAACAAAGACCCCATCCTCTTTTGCACTGACAGGCCTCCCGAATCTAAGCAGCTTCTTCTTGGCTGCATATTTAGGAAAACGTTGGCAAACAACAGGATTGTCCAGAAAGGGTAATGGACTGAGCAAAAGCACAATTCCCTTTTTGGGATTTTGTGCAGTTCTTGGCAGTGAGTCACTAGAACATAAGAGGAAGTCATTTAGTCCTAAAGTGTCCCCTGTTCTCGGTTTTAAGTGCTCTGCCACCTAGTTTCCACCAGTGCCCTCTGGTTCATGTTACGTGCTCTGGGTTGGCTTTCTCAGTTCCTTTGAGCATTTTAAATACTCAAGCTGGAGCTCGAGTGAGCTCATGGAACCCACGGCGTACTCCGAGAGTGTGGCCCCCTTGGATAACCTCCCTGCTGTACCATCCCAGGGTTTGGCCGGAGGGATGTTGTGGACTTCCTGCTGCTGAGCGGGGCCAACGTGCACGCCCGCGACGACGGGGGCTTGATCTCCCTGCACAACGCCTGCTCCTTCGGCCACGCCGAGGTTGTCAGCCTGCTGTTGCGGCACGGGGCCGACGCGAACTCGAGAGACAACTGGAACTACACTCCGCTCCACGAGGCGGCCATCAAGGGCAAGATTGACGTCTGTATAGGTGAGGTGCAATCTTTCTGTTAAGGCACCAGCTTAGACATCTGCGTCTGAAGTCGGAAACATAAACCACAGCTGCTCTGTCTCTTTCTCTTAATTTAACAGCTTTGCATTTTAGAATTTCTCCAGGTAAAGGAGATCTTCAATTCGGCTAAAGGGGAACTGCAGGCACAGTTTTGTCAGATCAGTAACTAAATAAATTAATTGACAGTGTTGCAACATTTTGCAAATTCCGGTTTAAACACAAAATTGTGAACTTTCAGAAAGTGCTGCATAGTTTCGACATTGTTGCAAGCCCCTGGTCTCATCACATTCGGGGGCATTGGATGTGAAGCTGCCCTTCCTGCTCACTAGTCACTGTAATGGCTAATGTAATGTGATGTACAAGCGAATAAGACTGGGATGTGCAGCAGGCATTTCACTGCAGAAATGTTCCAATATGATCTGCAGGCACGGTTAACTACTAAGTTGTTTTTGTTGGCAAAACCATCTCTAAGTCAAGAACAATATTTCTATTGGAATTAAAGAGATGTTTTCACAAGCCTGCTTGTTTACAATGTAATGGGGCCTTTTTATGTCACTGGAAGGTTTGTTGCCTCATTCTGAATCGCAGAATATGGCGCTGCACATACCCGGAAATTTTATCTGTTTCGTGGTGTAAATTGGAGGTTTTACACATTATTGTTTACTTTTTACTTTCATCGTGGTTTGAAATGCACTCATTAATGCTGATTCTTTCTAACCCTGAAATGTAAAAATAGCGTTGCAGTTCCCCTGAAATTGGGAGAAAAAAGGGTTAGTGTAACGGCAAGCTGGCCTTCACCTGAGTTGTTCGATTGTCCGCTGTACACATTTCCTTACATTTGGCATTGCTGAGGCCAGTACTCGGAGGCTGGATTGACCTGGGGTGTTCCAATTTCCTCTCCAGTCTTGCTGCAGCACGGCGCAGATCCGTTGATTCGCAACACGGATGGAAGGACAGCGTTGGATCTAGCCGAGCCATCCACTAAGGCCGTGCTAACAGGTGAGATCAATGCAGAGCCGTAAAAAAAAAAAAAAAAGGAACAACATTCCCAGAGTCGGCACTTCTCTGGGAGGTGTTCCTTAGAAGTGGTTTGTTTTGTGTTTCTGGCTTGTCAGAAATAATGCGCTGCTCAAGTGCCCTGTTGCTTCCCATCAGAAATGCACAGATTGTCTCCTTTTGTCCGTCCTGTGTCTTCCAACCCATTGTGATCCATTTCTTTTTAGACCTGATGGACACTTTTTTTTAAAAGGAAGCTTTTCCCATCCCTGTTTTCCTAATGTAATATAGATTGTATAATATGTAGTCAATTTTCCTAGGCATTAACCTGCTATGGATATATAAAGGCTTGTAAATTACAAAGACCAGTGTTGCTTAATGTTTCTAATTTTAAACATTTGTCCACACTTGAAGCTATCCAAATCTTTTTAGCTTTTTAGGTTATTTACATAACCCCCTTGTTAACATGTACACCCTATTAAGTACCAGTATGCATGTGACGCGACCTATGACAATATTAAGGCTCATAAAATGTTTCTACACTAACTTATACATTTGACTATGTAAAACATTTTGTTGTTGATATTTACCTTTGGTGTTTATGCAGCAAATTTGAAAGTGCCGTGAAATTATATTGTTTGTATCAAATGCGTGACTCTAATTTCATTCTATAGTGACTGTTGTAAGTCTGTACTTTGAGGTTTATTTCTCAAACACTATAATGCTATCTTAATTAATTGTATGTATTAATTCTAATTTCTTAACTAGGTGAATACAAGAAAGATGAGTTACTTGAGAGTGCAAGGTACAGTAGGTTTTCTTTTCTCCAAATTTTATGTTTGTTATGAGGTTTTTAAGACACCCCTTGAAGAGGCATTTGAAAGTAAAGACCACATTAAATTCAAATTTAATACATTAAGATATAAAGACGTTAAAACTGAAATAAAGTAAAATCTTTAAGGGTGGCCTTAATGGAAGCCTCAATATCTGTTTGTTCAAAAACAAAGATAAGACTGTTATATGTATAATCCCTTCAGTAGGTTAAAAGCTATGTTTTTGGTTTTTGTATTCAATTAAAACATAAGAGAACATTGTAGCCTACTTAACTGCAAGTATAACATTGCATTTATGCAGTGTGCAAAGTTCAGCATAATCCTCTATAAGTTCGGAGTGGTTTCACAGTAAACTGGTATTTTTTATTTGCACTTATGTTTCAGAAGTGGAAATGAAGAGAAAATGATGGCACTTCTTACACCACTAAATGTAAACTGTCATGCCAGTGATGGCAGGAAGGTAACTTTTGCCTTTTATTAGGTACTCTAATCACTGTAATGATTAATGGATTGATTTCTGTGTATATTCACAGATGTCTTTTGTGGGTGATTGACTTGGCTAAATTCAGTCATGATCCCACCAGAAGGCAGCTTTTTGCCCAGTGTCTGAACCTGCCATTAGTCTTGTACTGAGCAGGATGAGGCTGTTATTGCACATCCAGTGGGGTTCTGTTTCATTGCAATAGGTAGGCCCACGTCGAAAGACCAGACAGCAACATCTCTATGAACTCTTGGTCAACATAAGCTTGATATTCCTGTTAACTTTTCTGACGCCTCCTGCTTAAAACTTCTGAATTTCTGAAATGATAAGCCCGGGCTGTTGTTTAAAGGAAGAGTAAACTCTTGGCTAAATCCTCAGGTCTTGCACATGAGAGTCTAGAGGCACTCCACCTCCAGTGAATTCTGTAATTCCTTTATTGAGGTTTTAAAAATTCTAAAAGAGTATAAATAAATTATTTCATTGGTATTATTCTGAGATCCTCGTTAAAATGTATAGCTTTGGACAAATTACGTACTGGTACCTGCCTTTGTACGTTCAGTGAAATGTGTTTTTTTTACATTTCAGTCAACCCCTCTCCATCTGGCCGCAGGATACAACAGAGTTAAGGTTGTCCAGCTGTTACTGCAGCATGGAGCAGATGTGCATGCCAAAGATAAGGGGTAGGTTAACTGTCTTTTTAAACGTGAGTATATACATTTAAATACAAAGTTCTCTTTTTTTTTAAACTACTCCTACAATTTATTTTTCAGTGATCTGGTGCCACTTCACAATGCCTGTTCCTATGGCCATTATGAAGTTACTGAATTACTCGTGAAGGTCAGTGGTTTTACTTTTTATGGTATTTTTTACTTTTTGTGTGTATTGGAGCTCTTAAATTCCAAATACATTATAAACATGACAGCATGTCCAGTTAAAGAGTCTTCATTTTTTACTTTTGACATTCTTCTATTGCGATGGAAAATAAATTAGATGGGCAAACTGGCAACACTTTATCCACAGGAAAAAGTGAGCCTTGGGGATTTAAATTGTGGAACAAAAATTTAAGGACCATGGAAAAGCTTTAGAAATACAGTACATAAAGTCTGATTTATGTTTTTCTTACTTTTCCAGCACGGTGCCTGTGTAAATGCAATGGATCTGTGGCAGTTCACACCCTTACACGAGGCTGCCTCGAAGAACCGCGTGGAGGTCTGCTCCCTGTTGCTAAGCTATGGTGCTGATCCCACTCTGCTAAACTGCCACAATAAGAGTGCCATTGACTTGGCACCCACGGCCCAGTTAAAGGAACGGTTGGCTTGTGAGTCGTTTTGGAAAATTTCCCAATGACATGAGATTAATAGTGGTGTCTGAAGTAAGGAAGTAAAATTCCAGGGCCACGCTGAACGTCTTTCTGCTTCCTTTCAGATGAGTTCAAAGGTCACACGATACTGCAGGCTGCAAGGGAAGCAGATGTCGCCCGTATCAAGAAACACCTTTCATTAGAGACCATAACCTTCAAGCATCCTCAGACACATGAGACGGCATTGGTGAGACCTCACTGTGGGGCGGGACCTTTCTTGATTGGAATTTTGTTTTTTTTAAGAAATCATTTGAAGCCTGCCCTTAAAGTTAGGTATATGGCCCAGTAAAGCATAAAATTGTATAGCACACGGAGCTCAGTGATCATATTCTTTTCAGATGGTTGGTTCCTGTAGGAAATGATGAGAAGTGTAACGAATTTTTGTGTTCTTGTCAGCACTGTGCAGCTGCTTCTCCCTATCCCAAGAGAAAACAAGTGTGTGAATTACTTCTCAGGAAAGGAGCCAACGTGAATGAAAAGACTAAAGAGTAAGTACTACAGAATGGAGTAATTACAGGATTAGGAGGGAAAATTACATAAGCTCATACGGTGTCAGTTATAAACAGATACACGTTAAGTTAGGATTTCAATTTCTTTGCTTGCCTGTCATCTTAGTTATGACTGGCTGTTCCCATTATGTCAGATCTTAGTCATTTCCATTTTTCCGATTGTTTTATCGTGCCAGTTCTGCAGTGACAAGCAGAGTGAACTGTAGTATAGTTCAAAACATTGTCATGTTTCTGCAGCAGTGAAATGGCGGCATGAGTATATTGTAATTTTTCACTTTTCATATTTGACTATTTTTATTGCCTTTATTACAGCTTTCTAACTCCTCTCCATTTGGCTTCTGAAAAATCGCACAACGATGTTATAGAAGTACTTGTGAAGCATGAAGCAAAGGTAAGCGATCACTTTTTTCAGTTTTAGATTCACACAACATTAGTTTCTGATCGTCTCCTCTGGTTTGGTTCATTGTTGATTTTGAAGAAGTCTGTGGGGTTTCATTTTGTCGATGCCTTTGAGCATTTTCATTATGAGGGGACGTAGTTTAAAAAGTCATATGTTCAAGAGTATAAGATGTTTTTAGTTCATCAGAGTGGAACATTCCTTTACACCTGGAAATGTGCGTGGTGGCTCTTCTGCAGCCAGATTCCAGAGCAGCAGTGTTTATTATAGTGGCCATATTTAATCTCTAGTTACCATAATTAGTTTGATGAGTTCATTTGTGTACTTGACTAATTTTCTGAATGTATCTGGATCTAATTTACTTGGTATAATTTAGGAAGAGCGGCATTCTTATTACAAATCACTGGGTATGCCACTTATTACTTAACTCAAAACCACCTAGAATTGGAACCCACAACCTTTTAGTTGCAGGCCCAGACCTTAACAACTACTCCACACTGCTACCCATGATGTTATGAAAAACCCCATACTAAAATGAAAGAAATCCTTTAATCTTCCTGTGGTGCTGATGGATAAGTTCACACAATTACAGTTGAAGTCAAGTGAAGGCACGCATTTGCTTACAGTTTGTGCACCCGACTTTGTGCAGGTCAATGCCTTGGATAACCTTGGACAGACTCCGCTTCACAGGGCTGCTCACTGTGGCCATCTCCAGACCTGCCGTTTACTGCTGAGTTCTGGCTGTGACCCGTTAATAATGTCATTGCAAGGCTTTTCGCCATCCCAGATGGGCAACGAAAGTGTGCAGCAAATCCTCCAGGGTAGGAAGATGGAATTCAGAGGATGAAATATGATGGGGATTGTACTTGGCTTGAGGCACGGAGTGGGGTGGCTGTCTTTGAAATATAGGTTTTGTTTCAAGCATTACATAAACTGTTTAGATGCAAATGAAGGCTAATTGGTAGACTTCTTACTATTAGATTGAAGGATAGGTAAAGATTAAAATCAAATGTTGATCAGTTGCAACAGATGTTTTCATAGTAATTGAAAAGTACAAGATCAGTTCAGATCTGCTCTGTTTTGAGATTTATCTATGGGACTGGAGATTTTTGTTTGTGCTTTTACTGACCTGCCTATTCTGATGGCAAGCATTTTCACTTCTGTGCCCACCAGAGGGAGTTCTCATTGGAAATTCAGATGCTGATCGGCAGCTGCTGGAAGCAGCAAAGTCTGGAGACTTAGAGATTGTGAAGGTAAGCTGTTAAAAAAAACTCCTTCAGTTTATTCCATGTGCCTTGTTAAATCGGCTTTTTTGGTGCTAAATGGGACAGTGGGCTAGTCTTTTTTTTGTAGATATTGACTTGCTATAACAAGATCTGTAATCTCTTGCATTAGTATAGCTTTGTATACCAAAGAACCCCAAATCGTTTTATACATAGCCGAGGACCCGCTTCATGCACTGCTGAGATGAGTAGCTACCATTATGTGTCAGCAGCCTCAGTACACTGTATTTTTTCCTGTGATGTAAATGAAGATGCCTTACAGTCCAGGGGAGCTGACCACAGACCTGTGTGCCCTAGAGGAATGAGCCTGCTCTGTTCTTATTCCAGAAGCTCTGTACTCTCCAGAATGTGAACTGCAGGGATGTGGAGGGACGCCAGTCCACGCCTCTTCACTTTGCTGCGGGATACAACCGTGTGGCTGTGGTAGAGTTTTTACTGCAGCACGGCGCTGATGTTCATGCAAAAGATAAGGGGTGAGGATATATGCTGGGCTTTCCTTTCTTTCCATTTAGTGAGGCACTGAGGTTTTAAATGAAAGAGCACCTCATTGATTCATTCTTTAAGCTTGTGATTCACGCTCTTTTAAGTTTTCAAACCTTGTTTATGTAAATGGAGGTCTGAGAGCCAAGACTCACCCTTGACCGTGACATTCTATCAAATGCCTCTTTCCATCATTTTGTTTCCCTCTCTTCTTCCCAGCAGCTACTTTATTTCAGCTGGTGTTGACTATTCAGGCTTGCACATACAGACAAGTCAGGTTACTCGCACAATAAAGAGCTAAGTGCTGTAGGATTAGTCCAAAACTATTGTATGACAAACACAATTGTATGGAAAGCCCTTCCCTTACCCAGCAATTTGTCTCCATGCATAATTCCAGTTTCTGAAACTGCCTTAGTTGTGATGGTGATGTAAGTAACTCACTGTCTGCTCTCTGCAGTGGTTTGGTTCCTTTGCATAATGCCTGCTCTTATGGACACTATGAGGTGGCAGAGCTGCTGGTCACACATGGTGCTGTAGTCAACGTTGCTGACTTGTGGAAGTTCACCCCTTTGCACGAGGCTGCAGCCAAAGGAAAATATGAGATCTGCAAACTTCTGCTGCAGGTAAGACAGTATTTCCCATTGCTGCAGGGGAGGGTGCTTTAGCAGATAAACTATAGTGATCTGACATTTCCTCGTAAACACCATTTCATTATTCAGCACTGCTCTAGTCTGTGTCTTAATTTGAGTTCACTACTTATTAATGCTAAAATATTTATAAATATTTGCAAAACAGAATATCTGATGATAAATGAGAAATATTAATAGAGAAATGAATTTTAATATTCAGTTTTTATTGGGTTGAGGGGGAAAGGGTCTCTTTCAATATTTGATATCTATTTGGTGGCGTTAAGACACTTAATGTCAATTATGTTGAAAACGGATTAAGCCCTTAAGTGACATCCAACAGCTAGTTCCTGTAAAGGTATGTTTTTAGATTTCGATGGGCATGGTTTATGTTTACAGCATGGTGCTGACCCCACCAAGAAGAACCGTGATGGAAACACGCCTCTGGATCTGGTAAAGGACGGGGACACGGATATCCAGGATCTCCTCCGAGGAGATGCAGCTCTTCTAGATGCAGCCAAGAAAGGCTGTTTGGCCAGGGTGAAGAAGCTCTGCAGTCCTGAAAACGTCAACTGCAGAGATACGCAGGGCAGGCACTCGACGCCTCTGCATTTAGCGGGTCAGTGTCCAGAGACATCAAAGGAGTAATTCAGTAAATTGAGTTCTTCAAGCAGCCGTCTCCGACATAACTTGTCATGTTTTACAGTTGTGACAACTTAATCACTGCTTTGTTTAGTCCTGAAAGGCCACAGATCCTTTTCGCTCAGCAGATTCGCTGAATAGCAAAGTGGCGGTGTTTAAGGACTTTCTTATTCAGTTAACGAAACTAACAGCAAAAACTGGTCATAATGCCAACTTCAGCAGTAATGCTGTACAGCTTTACATGTAAAGGTAGCAGTCCATTCTAATGTACTCCTGTTGTAAACAGTAGATGAACAGTGAGAGAGTCATTCTCAGATTGTACACTCCCCATACCGTCCTTCAGAATATTTCATGTCTGTGCTTTTTCTGTGCTAGCTGGATATAATAATCTGGAGGTTGCAGAATACCTTCTCCAGCACGGTGCTGAGGTCAACTCGCAAGACAAAGGAGGCCTCATCCCGCTGCACAACGCAGCTTCATACGGGGTGAGTCTCAGGCCAGGCCCTTTCGGTTCTGTACACCTCTGTCGGCCAGCTGTTTAAAGCAGGCAGTTGTCTTTTGCTGTAAATATTTTCTTTGATATATCAACTTGGCTAAAATATTTTTCTTTTAATTAGAAAAATAACCTCTAAATCACCTTTTGAGCTATGTTCTCTGTTCAGTGACTGTCATATTACTTGAAATACATTGCAGATAATCATGCCATCACATAATGTGCAATATTCAAGGACCTTTCTTCTCTTTTCCATGTGCCCATAATTCTGCTGGTTCTAGTTTGCCATGTTGTTTTTCTTACTGAAAGGTCCTTGAATACTAATTGGTTCTTTTAATCCAGAGCAGTTTAACCCTTTCCCTCTTCAGAGATCTTCACTGATACTGCACATCATGAGGACACAGCAGTGTCAAAGTGTAGTTTTTGGTTGGTGTTCTTTTGAAGTACACTATGTGGAAAATTCTGCCTCATTCAACAGCATCCAAGGAAATGGTTCTCGGTGAATGCGTTACATGCAGTGCCCACCATGTCGGGTTTAAACGACAGCGTTCATGTCACAGGACAGTGACGGAAGGGAAAGGGTTAATTGGCTGGAAGAAAGCATTCAGATTTTCACCAGTTGAAAATGCGAGAGCGATTGCATTCATGTGTTTCATTTGCAGCATGTGGATGTGGCAGCTTTGCTCATCAAGTACCACGCATGTGTGAATGCCACAGATAAGTGGGCCTTCACCCCCTTGCACGAGGCAGCGCAGAAAGGGAGGACGCAGCTCTGTGCTTTGCTGCTAGCGCACGGGGCCGACCCGACTCTGAAAAACCAGGAAGGGCAATCTCCGCTGGACCTTGTGACGGTATTAGTGACCTCTTAGTGTTGTCATCCCATTTCGGGACAGTGCAGGGCGAGGCTGGGTTTCTCTCGCCACCAGCATTCACTCTCCGCTTTCAATCTATTGGAAAACGAGCCATTCAGCAGTTGCTGCTGCTTCTCTGTTGTAATTTCCAAGATAGTTGTACAAATCCTGTTGGACGTAAAAGACCCATGGTAAATACATGGCCACCAAACCTACGTGCCTAGGATGCATAATCCGAGTAGAATTCCAGCTATTTATACCAGAATGATAGATTTCAGCCGACATTGAAACCATTCTTTATACTGAAATGACTGCCTATTGAAAAGCGCCTCTTCAGAGCCTTTTTGTTTGTCATCTTTACAGTGGAATATTTTGTTCCCAAAGCCAATTGATAAATCTGTGAACATCTTCAGAGCAAGCTTAGACCTCCTCACCTTTATCCCAGTGGCGAAAAGGTCTCCAAAGCTTGCTTATAGATCTTTAAGCACAAACCTACCTCATTAGATTTAGGTTAAGTATCCTATGTTGCGGGTTTAGATGATACGGCTATGTTTAACACTCATTTCATGCTTGTTCTTTGTGCTTTATTTTGAAGAGTCGTTAGTTTTTCAGTTATTGATGATTTTAATGGTGTCATGATCCAGGTAATGGTGTCCATCATGTATGACTTCTGATGACTGTAGTAAGTAAAGGTATTTCAGTGTATATCCCTTTACATCATAGTGGGTTCACTAGAACTGACTGTTTGGCAGGTGTATTTGCTGTGCTGTTGGAATTGACACTATGTTGCTGTTCTGGTGCTTACTGTTGGAGATGAAGACTCAGGCTTTCTCTGGGTTTGCTCAAGTCGCCCTGTGACGGCCCCTTGGTTGCTCTTCCCACTTGTTGCTGCAGGCCGATGATGTGCGAACCTTGCTCACAGCAGCCATGCCTCCCTCGGCCCTGCCTTCCTGCTACAAGCCCCAGGTCATCAACGTGTCTGCCGCCGCCGCCGGGGGCCCTGCCCCGGCCAGCCTGTCCTCAGCCAGCAGCCTGGAGAACCTGTCCGTGGCTTTCCCAGAGATGCCAGGGCTTCTGGGAACCAGTGGAGCGGAGGGCCCCGTGGACAGGAAGGAAGAGGGTAAATGCAGTTTGAAGGGTTCATTGTTTCACGTGTGCGGTTTATGACTGTGCTTCACATGCTTGAGTGTTAATCCTGCTCCTTATCAGTTTTAGGGGTCGACGTCAGCATCAATCAATTTTTAAAGAACCTTGGCCTTGAGCACCTATTAGACATCTTTGAGAGAGAGCAGGTAGGTTTACCTTTTCATAGTCGGTAGACAAATCTTATTTTAACCACTCTTCAGTACTTATCCTTGAGAGCCTTATCGTGCCATTTCTGGTTCTGTACATTTTCAGGAACTATAATACATGTGTGTGTGTTCCCTTCTGAAAACTTAGAGAAGTAATTTTTGGTATCTTGTGATGAAGTATTGACTGATTGTGATTTATGTGACTGAAGTCTTCTTTTCTTTACATGGGTTTCTTATTAAGATCACTTTGGACGTGTTGGTGGAGATGGGCCATAAAGAACTGAAAGAAATTGGAATCAATGCTTATGGGCACCGACATAAAGTTATCAAAGGAGTAGAAAGACTGATTGCTGGTCAGCAAAGTATGTCGCATTCTCTTTTTGCATTAATCTTGTGTTTTAATAGTGCATCATACTTTAGACGCAGTCTGCTTTGAAATTATTTGCCTAACTCTTGGTAATGATTTTAATGTGGAAACTGAACATGTCTCCCTGTACACACCAGTGTATTACTATGCAGTACATTTATCGTTCTTTAAAAATGTCTTTCTTTTAGGTTTGAATCCCTATCTTTCTTTGAACGCTACTAACAGTGGAACAATCCTTGTTGACTTGGCAATTGAAGATAAGGAGTTCCAGTCCGTAGAAGAAGAGGTACTGATTTTATTTGTTTACGGATATAACCAGATTTTTTAACTTTTCATTATGATTGACTGAAATTATTTTTCAGGAAGTATGTAATGCAGATTTTTGGAACTGGATATTGACATTGAAATCCTAAAGTTTCTGTGATGTTCTTTCAAACAGATGCAGAGCACAATCAGGGAGCACCGAGATGGGGGTCACGCAGGGGGAGTTTTCAATAGATACAACATTGTAAAGGTGTGTACGGTGATGGCACCCATTGTCGTTGTCGCTGGAAGGGTGATGAAGTGAGATGAACTTGACTGCTGTAGAACATTTTACATGTATAAAGGGCATACATTTTACGTGTATGTGAAAGAACAGCTCAGAAGAGTAAACATTTTTAGAAGTATTACATTTAAAGTTGCCCGGAACTTTCTTCTTGTCCATAAAGACAATTACTGGCATTGTATTTGCTTCAAAATCACAAAGAAGAGGGTTTCTCCCTGTAATTTCAGATACAAAAAGTCTGTAACAAAAGGCTGTGGGAGAGGTATACTCATCGCAGAAAGGAAGTGTCAGAAGAAAATCACAATCACTCTAATGAAAGGATGCTGTTCCATGGTAAGTGTAAGTGAAGTGTAAAGCCTAATACTGTCAATTTTTATTGCCTGTAGATACCAGAAGAGCAACCGTTCTCTCAAAATGGTCCTTATGGGCAAAAATTTTACAAGTCCATAGTTCTTTCAAAATAGTCTTTCAAACTTTAAATATGCTTTGAAAGAGACTTTCCATCCATCGAGTGGTCCAGTAATATTAAATAACTTTGCGAAACTTGTTCAGAACTTGCTTACTAATTTTAAAAGATCGTTACTCCTTTCATAGTACAGTACCATGTTTGTACAAAGTGTACATATGTGCATAAAAGGTGCAGTGGCATGGAGGTTGCTTTGCAGGTAGATGTTTTACACTTTGTACTTGGTTTGAAACCATCCATTAATTTTCTTATTAAATATGTTTGTCCCTGCAGGTTCTCCATTTGTTAATGCAATTATTCACAAAGGTTTTGATGAAAGGCATGCCTACATTGGAGGCATGTTTGGAGCTGGAATTTATTTTGCTGAGAACTCATCCAAGAGCAATCAGTACGTCTATGGAATTGGAGGTGGGACAGGGTGTCCTGTCCACAAAGACAGGTCTTGCTACATATGCCAAAGGTAACTTTTACATTCATCTGAATATTAACAACTGGTATGGATGAGGAGTTTTAAGGGTGTTTGAATGGTGAGATGGTGTTCTGATGATTGCATGGGTTCAAGAGTAAATGTACAGTACTGCCTTACTAAAGCAGTTAATGTTACCATGGAAGGAATATGTGAAATATATCACCAAGCATAAAGCAAGGCCATATATAAACACAGCAGTGTGGTACCATGGTCTTGTATTTCTTGCAGGGGCTAAAGCAAAAGGTAGCTGACGGTCAGCATGACGTTTGGACCTAATGTGACGTTTGTAAATCTCAGACTTTATGAATGAATTGCATTTCTATACTTGATGCATTTTTTTTTGTTTAGGCACTTGTTGTTCTGTCGTGTAACCCTGGGAAAGTCCTTCCTGCAGTTCAGTGCCATGAAGATGGCTCACTCTCCGCCTGGTCACCACTCGGTTACAGGCAGGCCAAGTGTGAATGGCCTAGCACTGGCAGAATATGTTATCTACCGTGGAGAGCAGGTACATGTTTTTAACAATTTTGTAAAACCAGTTGTCTGAAACTTGTTTAAATCTACAAGATATTGCCTATAGGGTGGAATTGATTTTTTTTTCTAAATCCGATGCATTTTTTCTTGAATTTCTAGGCTTATCCAGAATATTTAATAACATATAAGATTGTGAAACCTGAGATGACTGCTGAAGGATAAGAGTGGAAAAACATGCACATGTTCAGTACAGTGGCTACAAAGTCCAAGGAACTGTACAACAGACATCTGCATTCCTTGAAGGATGGTTGTGGAGGAGGGTGGCTCTATATCTTGCATGAAACAACTTTATACGGTGTATAAAATAACGTTTCTTACTTTTCAATTGCTTGTTTTTCATTTTCAGCACTTTAACTTAGCATTCCATGAGCAGAGAGGAATTGGCCTATTTTCTGTAATGCATATATAAAAGGGGCTTTGTACAGGGTCAACACTTCTGTTGTGTGAGAACCATCTACAGTTTAACACTACATAACAAAAAGCAGCTCTTCAAATTCAAGCGTTGCACAAAGCACAGCATCAAAGTGAACTATTTATTTTATGACGCTTTTGTAAATAAGATTTTTGTACTAGCATGTTAATTTATTTACATTTGTAATATAAAAATGTTCTGTCATGAATTAAAACTGAATATGGGGGGGAAAGTTCTTCTGAACCAGCATTACATAACCAAAATAGCCTTTTTCAGCCTGTTGTTGACCACACATGTTGGTTCTGTTTTGATAAATGTGAGTGGTTAGTTCAGAACTAGCATGAAGCTCCTTGTGAGCTTTGTGTGGCACGTTTGTTTAGTCTTTGTAGCTGCAACTATGGAAACAATTAACATTTTGATAAGTTATGGGGACTTCAAGTGGTGTTATGTTTAATATGTTCTCTTAGTTTGGCAAACTATAGATACTTAGGCTGCTTTCTCAACTGCATTTCTTTGAAATCCAGCATCATGAACAAGATCCGTTCGAGCTAGTGAGAAGACCTCAGAACAGGTGTGATTCAAAACTCCACATGTTAAAGGTGTTCATTTCTTCCAGGATTTACTGCACCGAGCACCCTTACTTCTTTTCCCATCAGGCCCTGACAAGTGTATATTTTTTTAAGTTGAAAGAAGAGTCCTGTAGAAGAGTAATGTAAAAAAACAAGTTTGTTTTTACCAGTATACCCCTAAAAAAATAACTGAATTATTTATTATTTCTTTAAAAGGAACTTTAATCTTTTATTTTATTGGGAGAAAAGGAAACTAACTGAACTGTATAAAATGTGTATTGTTGGACTACGTTTCCTGGCAGATACTCTGTTGGATGCATTGCACTTTTACTTGTCATTAAAGAAATGCAAGCTTGACATTCTGTTAAATAATGCTATCATTGTGTAACTTTTCTACAGCACTCATTCATTGTGCATGGTATTTCCATCAGGATTCTTTTCTACATGGTTGTCAGATTTGTGATGTATTGTATTGACCATATTTGTATTAGGCTGCTGCATTTGTTTCCTTGGGTAAAAAGAGGAAGAGTTCCCATAAACCAGCAGTAGACAAATAAAATAATTGTATTGTTTGTGACTTTGTTTTGTTCATTTGTGGTTATATTTGAGAAAATGTTTTTTCTTATTTAACATCTGTCCTTTTTAAAATGTGAGATATCTATAGGAAGGCAGATTAATGTGCTTCAAACCAAACATGTTGAGGAGTATGGTAGTAGCATGTTTTTGAGTTAAAAGAGAAAATGGGTAGGAATGTTTACAGTAGCGGAAGGTGAACTTGAATCCTGGGTTAAAAGAAACGTGGGTTGGGTCTCATTGGGAAACGTTTCCTGCTACGGGATCTTTGTAATGAAAAATATTTTTTGTGTTCAATGAGGATATCGGGGTGCAAAGGTGTCAACTAGGATCGCTAGCTTTGTGTGTCTAATGTTGAGTTGGATGTGTTAATACTTTCTCTTGTACTTATTTCTGAAGTGAAGAAGATTGTTTAGTTAAATACATTTAGACAAGCCTTTAAGAACCATGTTTTCTACTACAATAGACAATGTCTAATCATTCAGTTATAATTCTCCATTTAAAAAAGCAATTGGCTGGAAATTTGTTTCGTATATTCTTGTGTTACAGCAGGTGGAGCTGTTGTAACAATTTGTACTATGTTGGTGAATGTGGATGGAAACCATAACACGCAGTTTTGCTGTATCAAGTGTCGATTAGTGTGATTAAATACCTTAATGGCTGCTCTTTATGGAATGAAAGTAGTTTGGGTTTTTGGAAATGCAGGAATTTGCAAACTGTTCAATTAGCGTGCCTAATCAGGTTCTGTGTTGGGGGGGTTTCAGTTGTTTAACCATTAAAAAATTCCAGTGACACAGCTACCATCTTAATCTTATCACCAGGTTCTTATTGCAAAAAAAAAAAGATTTAAAAGGTTATAATGTGAGGCATGTTAGCCACCAAAAGCACACTGAAGATAGTTAAAATGGTTACATTTCTAAAAGATGGGCGGAGTGGTGGCACTGTGGCTAAGGATCTGTGCCTGTAGCTGGAAGGTTGCAGGCTCAAATCCCGTGGCTGGTAGAGGAGTCCTACTCCGTTGGGCCCCTGAGCAAGGCCCTTAACCCCAACTGCTCCAGGGGTGCTGTACAATGGCAGACCCTGCGCTCTGACCCCAAGCTTCTCTCCCTGTCTGTGTGTCTGTGTCTCAGAGAGAGCAAGCTGGGGTATGCAAAAAGACAAATTCTTAATGCAAGACATTGTATAGGGCTAATAAAGTGATCTTCTCTTATCCTTTAAATGTTTTCTTAAAGTAAAACCCTTCTTCCTGAAAGAGCCAGAAACAGAATTTACAGCTTAAAGGATTAGATATCTTGTGTGGTTCATATTGTTTTTACTGGATACCTCAACAGTTTCATTGTGTTAGGTTGCCATTAAAGTGACAGACTAAAAGCACTGATTTTTTTTTTTAGTCTTGAACAGAGAGAAATGTGGCGTTTTTACTCATGTCGTCATATCCCTCAGAAGCACGGACAAAAGTAATGTGGTGTGGCTCTTGTATATCGGGCATGAAACCTGAACAACAGGTCACAAGAGAAGACTAAGGAGAAGCGCATAAAGACTGAGAACGGGAGGTATTTCTTTACACAAAAAGTTGTGGGAGTGAGGAACAAGCTGCCCACACATGCTGCTGATACCCTGGCTTCTTTCAAGAAGCTACTAGATGAGCTACTCGCATCAAATAGAGTCTAGCTATCCAACAGGTTAGAGAGGATAACTGGACTCTTGTTTGTAGTCTTCCTTACCTTACATTGACTTCTCTTTATATTACAATTTGCATTTCTCATCAATTGCTACATTCCACCAGACTTTCAATGGCAACTGCAAAGGACAGGAGAGTAAACTGATCCTCTTCAATACTTAATCTCTGAAACTAGGCTGTCCACCTATGCATATACCTAGGAATGATTTCCGGTCTTTTCACTTCAAAGGTTTTCTTATTTTATTAACATGTTAATATTTGAATATAAACCAAATCAAGGAAACCGGAAGAGGATTAAGCTAAACGGACAATGATAAAAAAACAAGGGATTAGAAATACCATTTTAAGGTTTGGCAGAGCTAAACTCGCTGCATGTTTTTCATTTCAAACAGGAGAATTTAATTTGCCGTTACTTCCCTTTGTATAAGTATTTAGATTTCCAATGTGCACACTAATTCCCTGCAGGTGGTGAAATCGCAGAACAACAAAACATACAAGTGAGGGGATGAATACTTATGCAATCTACTGTACATATTTTAGCCTTGGCATTTTCCTTGCAGTTTTAACTTCTTTAACCCATTAAAGCCTTCAGTTTGAACATTCAAGTTTTTATTTCAAATAATTTATATTTTAATTTGCATTTCAGCAAAATGGGAAATCACTGGAAGTAGGAAAATACTTTTGCAAAACACTGTATAGTAATATACAGTAGTTCAAGTACACTAAGTACTGTAGCTGTGTCGGCATGCGTAGGCTGCAGAGGAACAGGTAAAGGTTTACTCCATGCTGAAAAGAGACACAAAGTGGAGCCTACGTCTTCTTTGGGTGTATACAGAATAATACAGTATTATATATTAGAATTATTACAATATAATACACAATATATAATCAGAAGAACCGTCAGTTCGTGTCTGTATGATTTGAGGAAAAAAACATCTGGATATTGGGTTTGGTTTTAATGTTATTTCGATTAATTGATCATTAATTATTGACCATTAAACCTTGGAATGCCAGGAGTAAAGCCCAGCCTTTTTCACCCATCATTCAAGGTTTTATGTAGACTGGCTAAAATAGGGCCAGTAGGTTTGGCACAGATGTGAAGAAAGACGAATGTGAGTACAACAGAGAGCCCCACTGCAGCACTGTGCTGCACTCAACAAACCCTTGGACTTCAACTGCTGGGCTCATCCTGAAATCCTGTCATTACTCCAACCGCTGTTCACGTAACAACGGTTTTCTTACGAGTTGCGAATGAGACTGTTCTACCGCAGATGCCCCACCTTCACCAGAGTTGAGTGTCATTAAGCATTGCTGGGCTATCTGGGGCTCAGAGGACAGTAAACAGGTTTTGGGAGCCCAGGTAATGTGGGAAAAAGTTGAGTTAAATGCCCATGTTTGGTTTTTATTTGTTTTTGTTAAGAGGTTTTCAGAATGATTTTAAACAAGTTGAATTTGGATATAGTGCAGCTGAGTATATCAGACAAAAACACAATATAACAGTCTAGTAGGGATCTAACAAATGTGTGTATCATTTTCTGTCTACTGTGTTGGAAAGAAAATCACTTTATCCTGCTACTCTAGGTGTTTTTACATGAGAATCAAACAGGACCTCTAGATCAAACCATACATCCAAATTACATATTGAAGCTTCGGGCTGAGCCATTAGCCATCTTTATTTTAAATCAGACAGTCCAAAATACTTCATTCCTTATAGTAAAAGCTCTGTTTTAGCATTAAAAAGCTACTCATCATACAGTTTTTGATGTCAGCAAGGAAGGAAGATTATTTGTGCGTGAGGAGTCATGGGGTTTCATAAACACAGTGGTGTGTCATCAGTATAACAGTGAAAACTGAAATTGTTTTCACCGCTAGCGGGAGCATAGACTGTATACAGTAGCACAGTCAGTGCAGGACCAAGCCCAGAGCATTGCGGGACTCCGCATGTAACTTCTGCTTAATACGAACATGCATCATACCTTTGAACGTACTGGAATACGTGGCTTGAACCAACTGAGGATACAGCTAAAGAAGCACGCGTGGGTTTCTGAATGATTAATTAGTATTTGATGGTCGACGATGTCAAAAGCTGTGTCGAGGAAGTGTCCGAAGACAGGAGAACATCATTCACTATTCTAACCAAAGCTGTTTGGTGCTATGAGCAGGGTGAAAAGCAGACCTGAATTTCTTTAATTTTTCAGTTGACGTAAAGAAATATTGTTTATTTGCAACCATTTTCTCTGAGATTTTAGAGCAGCACAGGAGATAAGAAATAGATCTATATTATCTTAGAGAATTAGGGACCCAATCTAGTTTCCTGAGGAGTGCCTGTCACCCAACAAACATTACTTCAACTGAAAAAGTGCCTGAGAGCAGAAAAATGTTGATCATATTTAATACAAGATGATGTGAGACTTTTGCTGCACTAGTTGTTTTGGGACCTAAGACATGTTGTCACTTTGGCCTTGGGAAATAGTCCGGTTATTTCCCAGTTACTGTCTGTGTGGTACTGTAGGATTCAAGGATAGGCTGATTGCTGACTGGCAGTAGGAACAAGGTAACATTTCTCAAGCTGCACACAGCACTTTCTGTTGCTTCCTAAAACTGGTGGGTTTTCATTGGAGTAGTCCTTAACTGCAATACAAATAAAACTTAAAGGGACAGGTAACAGTGAACCCTGCAGTTTGTTAGATCAGCTATATTATTGAATAGCAACAAAATATTGTTTTATTTAAAGTCTATTAAGTTTGCTTGTAGGTTGAGTGAGCTGGAAATAAGTCCCATTTGTACTTGATGATGCTGTCACTCCCAACACATTTTAAAACCATCTAAGTCGTTTTGTCTCCATTTCCTTTTCAATCTACAACACTTTCATTTGAGAGAGAGTCTCATGTTGTTAAACCATGGAGAGAATTTTTTGGATTTTCATGTTTTTCATGATGCTACTGAACTCAAATGTTACTCAGTGTAAGAAAGGTGTATGTGTCCAGGAGCTGATTTCTTGAAACTGATTTGATACATTCAAATTGTGCAATTGTATGTGGTTATCTCATTCATGGTTAAAAAAAGAAACATTTATTATCTTCATATTTTTATTTTAGTTATGAGTACTCCTGTGGGGCTTTGTTTTGCTTTAGTGGATAAACCCTTTTAAGACTATCATTTAATACACAATGATATTGTCCGTTTGAATAAAACATCTCATTATCCATTTGTAGTTATGAAATTAAATTCCTAGGTTGTTTGGGGTTTGTTTTGCCACATTTTTGTTATTTTGTCCCTTTTCTGAAGCATGCTTTTTTATATATACGATTGCCCGGAGCCAA